TAAGCCATTAGTCAGTAGCGCTTATATTCTTCATAAGAAGCCTCCGTCCTCTGACCTGCTGATTACTAATGGTCACCCCATGCTCTTTCACATGGGGGTTACCATGAGGGGCACCTAGGGATGTCTGACAAAGCAGAGTCCAAAGGCCCCATGAGAGAGTGACCGAAGAGTCATGTGATGAGGATGTAACAGTTTCTGTTGGGGCAATGAATGGAAGTTAGGCTGCATCTTCACCTCCTGAGACAAAACTGAGTTAATGTCTCTGGTGATTCATTCCTTGCATGTTGACTCTGTGTCTAACATTGCATCCTGGAAAACATGAGCAAACCCGTGTCCAGGCTTCGCTGCAGGGATACTGTCCAGGCTCCAAGTTGGATGAGTTGACCCCAAGCCCTGGGCACAGCTGGGTTCTGAGCTCTGGTCTGCAGGATGGCCTGTCCCAATTTCTATCTACTACTGGCCCCCAGGCTGGCCAACACTCTCCAGTATAGGGTAAGCAAGGAAACGTTAAGAAAAATGAGGCAAGTAAAATCTCAAATAGCCATGACCAGGCAAAAAACACTCCATGACATACAGTAATTAGAATACCATAAATCTGATATAACAACAGAATTGTAAGAGCTACTAAGGAAAACCAATGAATCAGCTATATAACAAATCTCATCAGGACTCCAACAGACTTCCCAATCCAAGTCTTAAGGGCAAGGAGAGCAGATAAGTAGTTAAGTGAGGAATATCTGTGCACACGCTTTTTGGCAGAATATTGTACTTTCTCAAAAATAAATCACATACTAACTAATAAAGCACGCTTAAGTAGATACAAAAGAACCAAATTTTTGCAATGTTTATTATCAGATCACAGTGCAATGAAATTAGAAATCAATAGAAAAAGAAACCACAGGAAATATATAAATATATGCAAACTAAGCACACACACACACACACACGCGCGCTTGAATAATCAATGGGTCACAGGAAATTTAAGGTAAAATAAGCTCCTAAATTTAAATGATAACGCCAGTACAACAACCCTAACTGCTTTCATGGGACAGAGTGAAAATAGTCCTAGGAAGAAAGGTTTTATTGTTTTGTTTTATGTTTGAGACAGTCTCAGTATGTAGCTCAGGCTGGCCTCAAACTCACAGTGAGCCTTCTGTCTTGGTCTCCCAATACCTGGGATTGCAGAGAAGCACTTCTGCCCCTGACCCCTGCAAGGGAAGTTATAGCTGTGAATCCTCACACCAGAACAAAGGAGGATGCACTACAAGAACCTCACTAAACAAAAACGATCCAAATCCAGAAGACATATAAGAAGGGAAAACATAAAGAAAAGGGAAGAAAAAAATGAAATAAAGAAAAAACCCTCAAAATAATACTAAGAACCAACAAATCAAAGAGCTGATTCTTTGAAAGAATATATAAAATAGACAAACTCTTAACTAACCCTAATGATAAAATGAATCAATGCAATTAGAAATGAAGATTGGACCCTGAATCTCATGTTCACACATTAGTGCTACAGTCCTCAACCTCCAGAGTCAGAGTTTTTACTTGTGATGAAGGGTTTGGGGAACTCTGCTATTCAGATGACAGAGAGAAGATTGCCCTGTGAAATACTTGTGACTTGCATCTTCCTATCAGACTTGGTCTCTCTCAACCCCCAGGCAACCAGCTCCTTAAAGAAACAGACAGAAGAGTGTTGTCTCACCGACAGGTTCATAGAATCTGAGTGCTCACAGGGTGTAGGGTGTGGGGCTGTCTGCGCTGTGTCTGGGAGAAGCACAGATGTTCTAAATTGTGGTCTAAGTTGCAGGGTTTTCAAGGTCAGACCACTGGTGCCTGTCCTGGCTACCACTGTTGATCTGCCTGGGTATTGGAGCAGAAAGAGACCGAGAACAAGGCCAGAAGCCTGTTATATCCTCAGGATGCAAGGTCACAGGGCAAAGTAGCTCTGCTCAGATGACTGACAGGAGGTATGAGCTCATAGGGTTGGAGCATGAGCAAGGAATACGTGAGTGGTGAGGTCGTGGCTGGCCTTTGCCTCAGGAATGTGTTCTTTGTCTTTTCCCTTGTCCCATTTCAGAAAGCAGACGAGGACTACTTGGATCTTTCCTGATGCACAAGTGGCTCATTTCAAGTCCAGAAGCTCTGACCAGTGGAAAGAATGTGAGGGGGAGCTTAACCTGTGTTCCTCATGCTTGTCATTATGAGATAGAAATTCGAGGAGCAGCTGACTTTCCTCCATTTAACATGGAGGTCTGAATATTTCTCTTAAAGATGGTAACATATCTGAGGCATGGGTCTCAGCTTCTGAGGGACACAAAACTTGTATGGCTAGAATTAATATGAATCTGCACCTGATTCCAGTCTCTGAAAGGATTAGGGACCATTTATTCACAATTCAGTCCACCTCTCTTCTATCCAAGAGCAACTGAGAGCTTGTTACAAATTGTGCTATGTGCTGTTTGTGGCCTGTATTGTGAGGAGGGAGAAAAGAATGTCCTTTCCTGTCCTTGTGCAGGAATGCCCCCCATCATATCAAGAGACAAGTGTGTTTTCAAGTTCAGTGAGGGAGGGTGTGGATTTGCTGCCTAAGCAGGCAGTCCTGGTACTGCAGCACTGACTTCAAACAGGTGATTTATATGCAGAATGAATATTAGTTTCTCTTTTTCTCTACTCCTCTGAGGTTAGGATGCCTTCCAAGAGGACTCTGAACAAACAGATATCTTAAGGTCCATGCATGCCTGATACTCCTCCTCTGCTGGAAGATGTGTGGGGACTGTACCTGAGACTGTGACTTTGATCTGCTGCTGGTGTTTGAGTAACTGATTTAGTGACTGCGTCTCTCTCTGCTTCAGTTTCTCTTCAACAAAGAAGGAAAAGTGGGTGTTTCGCTGCTAGGCAGTGTGACTTATACTGAAAATACGGGCTCTGACCCAAAGCTTGACATAGAGGAGCTCCCCAAATAACTAGCATCTATGATCATATATTCCAGGACATAGGTGCCTTGGCACGATCTCTTCTGGAAAGTGCTGCCAGAAATATCATTTCTTCCATTTATTCTCCCTGGGGATGACATTGGATGATGGTATCTTTTGACCTGGAGATGATATAAATGATATGGGTTCTAATATTGCAGTGACACACTGTTAAGTGTTCTAGCTTTAAAGGGGTGATTGGTGACCATATCCTTCCTGCGAGCTGAGCCAGACCCAAAGTCTGGCTAAGAAGCCTCTGGAAAGGGTGATAGAGGGGAGGAAATTGGGAGCTGCTTTTTGCTGGGATAACTGTGAACCGAGACATTCATTCCATGAATGAAGAGTAGGAAGAAAAGATCAGAGGACAGCAAGGACCCTCCTTCATGCCCGGAAGGAAAGATCTTTTTTGGGGGTCTCAGGCATCTATGTCTTGAGGGACTGGCAGGAGTCACCTTTGGTTGCCCAGGCAGAGTTGTGATACCTGTGTCCCATAAATGCAGCATTGGCCCTCTCTGGACACTGACTTGAAGATGTGCTGCTTCAGAAAGTTCTGGACCCCTGACCTAACTCCAATGTGACTCTGATGGATTCTGTACACAAGGACAGAGGCAGTGCTTATCATGGGAACTCCATGGTTGGCATCTCCTGCCAGGTGGTAGAGTCCAGAGTTGGAGAGTAAGTTTCGGACAGGCTCTTTGAAGAGAAGCTAGTGGAGGCCCCTGTGGGCCTACTTGCCCCAGGTTTCATTGTCCTGTGGATCTGTCTGGTAAGGGAGAATCCAGATCCTGCTCTGTCCCCAGAATTGTCTTTCTCTGCCTTGACATCCACTCAAGCTCATTCCATGCCCACCTCCCAGAACCCACATGGATTTGTGCCAGCCTTCAGATAGTAACATAGACCAGGAGTCTGGGGGAGCCTGAGGACACAGCTTCGGGAGGGGCTGCCTGCCCACGCCTCAGTTACCTGGTGGATGGCAACACTAGCATTTTTCTCATCTTGGTGTACTCTGTCCTCTCCTTTCTCTGGATGAACTTCCTCTTGGAGCTGGCTCTGTGCGGTAAGACACATCTCATAATCAGGGCAGGGACACTGAGGGGCCATAGGCTACCCTGGGACAGATGTGAATGAAGATGAGGGAGTTGTGAGGTCAGAGGACCTGAGGCCTGGAATCTCGAGAAAAGTCAACTCTCCAGCCAGCAGCACAAGTGGCACCTTGCAGTGTGGAGTACAATATTCCAGAGAGGGCAATTTCTGCATCTGTGTACTGTAGTGCCTACCTGTGAACAGCCACTGCTCACAGATTCAGGGAAATTTAAGGGCAGCTTCCTCCCAACTAGGATTCAGTGGAATACCACTGTTGGAAAACCTTAAGACACAGAAACCCCAGAGGAAGAACTATGACTCTGGAGGAGGACAGAAGCAAGCCCTGTGCACAAACTATGATCCCTTCTCCAGAGACATCAAGTGTGTCCAACACTCTTCTGTGTCTTAGTGGAGTACAGATCATCCCCTATGCAGAGGTTGGGTTTCCTGATCCAGGAGGGTGAGGCATGCACCTCTGGTACCACATGGAAAGTAGGGGTGTTCAGGGTTTTGTGGTTCATCTCTAGACTGACTCAGTCTGGCCTCATCTGCTCTGGAACAGGTGTGCCTGAGAGCATTTTCCTGGGGTGGCAGTGAGGCCATGTGGCAGGAAGGACCTTGTCCTTCAGTGTAGGATGCTCACTGGTCTCAGAGCAGGTGTCCCTCTGCCAACAGAACATGGCATTACCTCCACAGAGAAGGTGCAACCTGAGAGCCTGGTGCTGCATGGGACTTGATCCTCCTCCTTATTTGGGTACCTGTTTGTGGGACACACAAGAAAAGAATAATGATAATGTCACTTACTGCTTTGGGGAATTTATTGAGTCTATACGAGTCTTCTAGGAACATTCCATTTCCACTCATTGATTATTGACAGAAGCTCTATACCCATTAGTGCTAATAACTGCCATTTCCAGGGAAAAACTTTTAATGCAGAGTTTATTGATTATCAGGAGAGTCCATGAGTGCATCATGCTTTACATCCAGCCAGAGGGAGCTGCTCCTGCTGGAACTGACCGGGTTGGAGACCTCACACTGATACGACCCGGCATCCTTCCTCTTGACGGGGTCGATGGTGAGGGTGCTGTCTTTCTCAGACAGCTTCATCCTCTTTGTGAGCTTCAGAATCTGATCATTGAAGATCCACTGGATGGAGGTGCCAGTGTCACGTGAGAGGCAGGTGAGGACCACAGAAGCATCTTCTGTGACTGTGGTGCTGGTGGTGCTGACGGCAGGCTTTGTCACTTGGTCTGTGGACAAACAGAAGGAGATTGACTGAGAGTGATCCTGGGCTATGATTCTTCCTCAGAGGTCTCAGTTAGCTCTCAGGGCCCAAGGTGGGCAATAAAATGGCCCAGAGGCTGGCCCTGATCATCTGCAGAAGTTGCATAATTCTCATCAGCTAAGAATCTATACAGACGGGACTGTGTATCCCTCTGATATCACGCTGCCAACAGTGACCTCTGACTGGAAAGCTCTTCTCAGCCCACATGTCCAGGACCTCATTGTCGGGTGGGGTATTTCCCCCTGTCCTCTCCAGCCATTTATTTCCTAGTTCATTCTGTCCTGTTTCAGATGAATACCTGACTGGGTAATTGATAAAAAATAGAGGTTTATTTCTTGCATTTCTGAAGCCTGGCACATCCAAGACTAAAGAGTGCACCTGGCAACACCTTCTGCTGCATCATAATGTAGCAAAAGGCACTGCGTGGGAAGAGACTGAGTGTGAAATAGAGGAGGGAAGGGGACCGACTCCTGCATTCATGAGGAACCCGCACCTGCAGTAACTGGCCTGCTCCTGCAGGCACCGCAGTGCTTCAGTCACGAGTGCAGAGCCCTCGGCACCTGCTGTCCTCCCACAGGGCCGCCCGCAGGTCCCGTGGACTCAGTTTCTGACTCTTTTTGACAGACAAGCCCCCTTTTCCAGCACTATTTTCCTGCATGTCACGAAGGTAGGGTTTACTGGCTCTGTCCACGCGAGGGGCAGGCAGATCTTTGCAAAGTAGTGGAAATAGTACTTGTAAAGAATAGTTCTTAGGGCATGACTATGGCCTATCCAGTCATCACGATCTAATGACTTAGCTAGGTTCAGAGCTGAAGGATCTCTTAGTTAACGGGGAAATGTGATTATGTACTGGAAACGTGTACTAGAGAAATAGATATTCTTACATAATTTTGAAAAAAGGGGACATGTACTTCCTGATCCTGGAGGGAACATTACTGTGAACAAAGTCTCTAAAGAGCTGATCTGCATGTTCACCAACGGCCGCTCCCGTACCTCCTCCCAGATATGCTTTTTGGGTACTGCCCGTTACTCCCACACAAGGACTCCACAGTGACGCTCTTGTGTCTCCAAGTGTGTGGCACTCACTGCTCTCTGTGCTGTGTCACCTGTAGTTGTGTCCTCAGTCTCCTACAGCTGGGACTTCAACCAGGACACAGCCCAGAGGTGTCTGCCCCCAAGCTCACTTTACACGTTTCCTTGCACCTGGACCTGGGGAGCCTCAGGTGACCACTGGAAAGAACCAAGGCCTTCAGAGCACATTGAAGGCAGTTTTTCCAGGAGCCTGCTTCCACATCACTCATGGAATTAGAGCAGAGCCCTCTGTCTCACGAGCATGGAGCAGGTATTGGAGCAGAGCGCTGGATTACTCTTCCACCCTATGTGGGAAAAGCATTTCTGTCCCTCATTTAAGGGAAAAGAATGTGAGTGTGTTTCCAATGCTGGTGTGGTCCTTGTGGCTCATGCAGGAGGTAACTTGAAATGAAGGAGTGACAGAAACTACTTGACCTTGACAAGCTTTTCGCTCTCTACACTGTGACTCTCTTCCCGATCTCTGGTGCTGTCCTGGCTTGGGGACCTCTCCTCCCTCTACTAGTCCTATCATATTCTGGGCTGGAACTTTCTCAGGCATGAAAAATCAGAGCTGGAAAACAAGGATATAGTATTAGGGTTGGAGCAGGCAGTTTAGGAAAGGATTGGGATTTGCATGTGTTTGTGGGCACAGGCCAGGAATCAGATTTTTCACGCTCTCTCTAGAAAGCCAAATACTCCATCCCAGAGCTCTGTCCTGATGCTTCCGTGTTTACTTACCAAAGACTGTGATATTCTTGACTGTGGTTCTACTGAGGTGTGTGACAGAGTTATGGACAAGGCAGGTATAGTATCCGGTATTACTTATGGTGATTTTGGGAATAACAATTTCCTCTGCAGATTTCAAGATCCTCCCATTGAAAAGCCAGGTAACCACTGCAGGCGGGTTAGAGTCTGCGTGGCAGGAGAGGCTGAGGTTTCTCCCTGAATGGAAATATGAGTCCATGGGCAATATGATGGGGACGTCCGGGCCATCTGGTGTAAACAGAATAAAGAAATATGGAATATCATCAGAGTTAAAGGGGAGCTCATGGCTTGTTGAAGGCTGAGTAACCCCCTGAGCCTTGTTGCAATTTTGTTTTAAAAATGCCAACCGGGATAATGGTGTACCTCAGTGGTAGAGCACTTGCCTAGGGTTCATAACACACACACACACACACACACACACACACACACACACACACACATACACACTTTACTCTAGCCCCCATTCACTGAATCTGACATATTCAGTGGTTTTCTCTGTCACAGGCAGTCACTCCTTTCCTGTCCTGAATTTGGCCAAACTGAGGTAGTGCCTTTTCTCCTCTCCCTGGTTCAAGGCTGGGCCTACGTGGAAGTGCCTGGGACAGGACATGATGGCCAGCCTGGTTTCTGGGGGTGAAGGTCAGTGTACTCAAGCTGTGAGGGGCTGACTACTGGCCTCTGGCCCTGTGTGTTGAGCTGGCAGCGGGTGCCAGGGAGGAATGGAAGTTACTCACAGAGGACATTCAGTGTCACTGGGTCACTTCGGCTGGCACTCAGTGGGTTCCAGGTTTCACACTCATAGGATCCTGTGTCATTCCTTGTGACATGGAGTAAAGCGAGAGTTTTGTTGTTCTTCAGCAGCATCAGCCTGTCACTGTCTGGAAGGTTCTGACCATTTTTCCACCACTGGTAAGTTGTATGCTGACTCTCAGGTGTACAGAATAGTGATACAGAGTCCTTACCTTCCACAGGGTTGGAGTTATTGCTTGTGATGACGGGTTTAGGTAATATCCCTGTGTAGACAACAGAGAGAAGATTGTGCTGTGAGATACCTGTCATCCCTGCAAAGACATTTTCCCCATGGTCTCTTGCATCTACCAGTCCACCTGAGTCCATAAAGAACCAGATAGGGGAGCACCTTCCAGGCAGAAGTGCAAGGCTTTGTGTGCTCAGAGGATGTGGGACCCCCTGGGCTGTGTCTGAGAGAAGCACAGGCTTTGTCACCCGTAGACTAAGCTGCAGTGTCTGATCACGGACATACCGGGGAGTAGGAGGCAGATTCTCCCGTGCCTCTCCTAGTCCTCACTTGTCAGCTGCCTGCTTTGCCTTGGGTCATGTGATGCTGAGACTCTCCACTCTCAGACATCACTTGCTCAACTAAGGACATTTCCCCTGAGGCATTGCCCTGCAAGGCTGTCCTAGAGATGGATCATGATGGAAATTCTGCTGGTTCTGAAACCACAAGAACTGTTCGCCTGGCTTGATGTGAGCAGAAGCAGCACACAAAGGGACCAGAAGCAGGTCCAACATTTAGCTCAGTGGTCAGTTTGGGACTATAAGCGGGAGCAATTCTGCTGACACATTTGATGGTGACTAATATGAGCCAGTGACACCTAAAAGAATGAGCATGAATCCAAGGAACGATCTAGGAAAGAATGATCTTGTAGAAAAATCCTATCTTTGTCCTTGGTTTTTAATGTCCCTTCTCCTACAACAAAGGGCAGGTGAGGACCACGTAGTCTTCCCTAAAATAAAGCTGGATGAGTGACTGGTAGAAAATGAGGAGCATGAACACAATGAAACTCGAGCCCTCAACCATGGCCCATGTGTGTTCGACAGGACTAGAAATCTGAGATTGCATTTCTTCACTATGTATAAAGCATTACTGAGGTGCAGAATCTAATGCCTATTATTCCTGAAAGGAATATTTATCTAGGCACCACAATACGGTCCTGGGCTCTATAGATCACATTATGATCAAAGCCAATGCTCAAGTAGTTTTGCATCAGGGACTCACTGCATAGAAAGAGACCTGTGCGTCCTGTTGGGAGAACAGAGCTGGTCAGTGGGTAAGACTGAATTGTCTCTGTTGTGTAAAACAGGGGGAAATACCAAATTCAGAGAAATATCTTGTCATGTTATTATATTTAGAAAAATCTATGTCTCCAGTTTCTACGGTGAGTGAGGCAAAGGGGGTCAAACTTGGCATAGGAATGTGAAGTTATTTCTTCTTTCTTTTGACATCCCCAGGAAACACAACTAGAGCTTTGTTAAGTTCTTCCGGATAATGGTTGAGACACTGACATGTCTCATTGTGTGAGGACCCTTCCTGTGATGGCAGCGTCATCATGAGGACACAGGTGCCTACGGAACAGGCAGTCAGCCTATCAGACACACCTGCCGGCTGAGCTCCCTTAGGGAAGGTTTAGGAGTCACCACAGGGCCGTGAGTCCCATGTGGGGACCTGAATGGATTCAGGAAGCAAACTGGTGGAATGAAATGGGCTTTGGGACTTGCAACTCCGTTTTGTTGCCTATGATCCCTGGCTGAGTCAGGGTGCAGAGCTGACAGAGGAGTCCCTGGACCCTGTCTCATAGCCTATTCTGTGAACTGGCGTCAAGGAAAGAAAGACCTTTGAATGGGACACAGTGGAGATCTGTTCACCCTGGGGGACATTGGCAGGGTGCAGCTGCTCGACTGATTTCTTTGCCCTTTAGTGTTCCTCGGGGCATGGGTCTGCCTCCAGGAATTAGTGGAAGGGAACAGATTGCTCAATCTTCTGTTCAAGAAGGTAAAGATGCATCAGGCTGTGCAAGGCAGGTGTGGTCCCATGCAGAATAAGGAGAAGGAGGATGAGGGGCAGGGAAAGAGCAGAGAGAGCCAGAAATGTCCATGGTGGGGAGCAGTGTGGGGTCAGTGACTTCAAAGATCCCAGAGACCAAGAGCCCCATGGCTGCCTCAGAAATGAACACTGAAATCCCCTCCCCTAGCCCAGCAGCCCCAGGGTCATGACCTGTGGGTGGCTTTAGGAGTAGGTGGTCTGACTGATGGCAAAAGTCTCAGCGTCCAGAAGGAACAAGGATTAGGCATGGTCAGATTCTCCTAGGACTCTTCATGGAGTTCATAATCTCTAAAGAACTTCTAGGCCACTCGTCAAGAAGATTATACATCACAACCAAGTGAGATTCATCCCAGGAATGCAGGGATGGTTCAACATACACAAATCAATAAGTGTAATATATCATATCAATATAGCCAAAGACAATCACAATTATCTCAATAGATGCAGAAAAAGCTTTTTGATAAAGTGCAACATTCATTCACGATAAGAACGTTATAGAAAATTGGAATATATGGTCTCTATCTCAATCTGATAAAAGCCATCTATGACAAACCAACAGGCAGCATCATATTAAATTATCAAAAACTGAAAGATTTTACTCTAAAATCAGGAACAAGACAAGGCTGTCCACTGTCACCACTCCTATTCAATACAGTGCTGAAAATATTAGCCAGAGCAATTAGACAAGACATAGAAATAAAAGGAATAGAAATAGGAAAGGAAGAAGTTAAACTATTATTATTTGCAGATAACATGATACTCTATAGAAGACTCCCAAAACTCCATTGAAAGACTTCTAGATGTAATAACCAAATTCAGTAAAGTAGCTGGATACAAAGTCAACACTCAAAAATCAATAGCATCCCTGTACACAAACAACAAAGTCACTGAGATAGAAATAAGAGAAACCACACTCTTCACAGTAGCATCCAAAAAATGAAATACTTAGGAATCAATTTAACAAAGAAAGTAAAAGATCTATTCAGTGAAAATTACAATACTCTGAATAAAGAAATCAAAGAGGATCTTAGAAAATGGAAAGATATTCCTTGTTCATGGATAGAAAGAAAAAACATTTTGAAAATGGCCATTCTCCCCAAATTTTCATTCTCCCAGATTTAATGCAATGCCAATTAAAACACAATTATCATACCTCACAGATCTAGAGAAATCATTCCTAAAATTCATTTGGGACCAGAAGAGACCTAGAATAGTAAAGGCAGTTCTGGGCAACAAAGGCAAGGTAGGAGGCATCACAATCTCTGACTTGAAGTTATTCTACAAAGCTACTATGATAAAATCAGCATGGCACTGGAATAAAAACAGACCTGAAGACCAATGGAATAAATTAGAAGATACAACCACAACTACAAACACACTCGGCCACCTTATCTTTGACAAAGGGGCCAAATGTTCACTGGAAGAAAGATAGCCTTTTTAATAAGTGGTGCTGGAAAAACTGGCTTTCCAAAACTATGGCTATGCCAAAAACTAAAACTAGACCCATGCCTATCACCATGTACTACACTAAAGTCAAAATGGATCAAAGATACAAATATTAATACAGAAGCACTAAATAATCTGGAAGACAAAGTAGGTAAAAATCTTGAAGATATAGGGGTTGGAAGAGAATTCATGAAAAAAATTCAAAGTGCACAGGAAATACTCCCAGAATCAACAACTGGGATCTTGCCTTATTAAAGTTTTTGCATGTCAGAAGAACTCTCCAACAGAATGAAAAGAAAACCCAGGAAAAAATGAGTTGTTTAAAGCTCTCAGTGGGAAAAAATCTTAGTCAACTGTCCCTCAGACAAACAACTTCTATCTAGAACATATAAAGAATATTTAAAAATTCAGGCCCCCAAAATTCAAAGACCCAATCCAAAATTGGGCATCTAAAATGAATATATACTTCTCAGATGAAGAAATACAAATGGCAAATAATACATGAAAAAATGCTCAGCATCATTGGTCATTAGAGAAATGCAAATTAAAACCACACTGAGATTCCATCTCACTCTAGAAAGAATGGACTGCACTGTTGGTGGGAGTGTAGACTGGTGCAACCACGTGGAAATCAATGTGGAGATTCCTCACAAAGCTAGAATTAGAGGTTTTGTTTGACCCAGCTATTCCACTTCTGGGTATATTCCCAGAAGAACTGAAAACATCATACCCATGTTTATAGCCGCACAATTTGTAATAGCTAAATCTTGGAAACAGGCCAAGTGTCCATCAACTGAGGAATGGATAAAAAAGATATGATATTTTTATAGAATGGAATACTACTCAGCTATAAAGAAAGACCACATTGAGGCTTTTTTTTTTCTTTTTCTCTTTTTATCGGTACTGAGGATCGAACTCACGACCGCCTGCTTGCAAGACAGGTGCTTATGCCGCTGAGCTAAATCCCCAGCCCAACACATTGAGGCTTTTATAAGTAAATGAATATGACTTGAGACCATACTCATAAATGAAATAAATCAAACTCACATGTGTAAATACCATGTTGTCTTCCTAGTATAAGAAACTAAAAGAGTAAATAAGGTGCAAAATCTGTAATAAATATTGTGAAAGGATAATAAACTGCTCAAAGAAGAAACGATAACTCAGCAAAAAGACAAAAGAAGGAAGATAAATGAAATAGGATATAAATTTTTATATATACACTTAAGATTACTAAAATGATTGCACTACTAATTCTATTAGTTCTTGGAACAAAACAGATAACATCCATAGGAGTAATTCAATTTTGCATTGCTGTATCTGGCAATTAGAATGAGACTTTTGAGGATAACTATGCAAAACAAAAAAATTGTTATGTTCCTACTATCTTGTTTTGAAAGTTTACATTGTTATTATTTTGGGCTCTTAGTTGTGTTATTTATCTGTTGTTTTGTTTTTTCCTCTAATACAGAAAGGATAGATATACATGTATAGACTTATATAGGCCTAAAACTTCACCTAAAGAGTTTAAAAAATTGATTTTAGTATGTGTGATAGTACAAACAGCTACACTGAAGAAAAGGAAACACCATGGTAGCCATTTATAATTTATCATTTTGATTCAAACCAATAATGCTTTCATTCTTCATTTTGATTGGTTTTAGTCTGCTTTCAATTATTTGATTACAGTATATATGGAGATATGGATAGTTATTTTGAAGAAAACAAGAGATATTATTGTAGCCATTATTGATTTCCTAGTGTCTGGTCTTGAAAGCCTTTAAGGCTCTCATTCTTGTGTCCTGATTGCTTTTATACCACTTTGATGTGTATTAACTTAGTGTGTGCAGGTATGGACCACTATTTTGAAGAAAACAAGAGGCATTATGGTAGCCACTATTGATTTCCTGTGGTCTTTTTATGAAATCTGGTGTTATTTGCATTGTTTTACTCTGCTCTGCTTTGTTCTGTTTTTATTTTGCTTTGCTTTGTTTTATTCTCTTTGAAATAAAGATTAAAAGGCCACTCACTCATTCAGTCCTTCACAATTATTCCTTCCCTCTTTCATCATGCATTTATTGGGAATTGGCTGCACACTCACTGGATTCTGTCCCAGTGGTAGTAGTGGCCAGAGAGAAAGCTAAATCCTCTGCTATATACTTCAGTTCATGGCAACCAATGCCCCCCAAAATATGTGATTTTAGGGTAGTGAGGATGGATGTGGATCAGCTGTCTGAGGTGGGATGCCTGGAAGTTCTCCCACTGAACTAGAGTTGATGTAGGTGATTTAGTCTCAGAATAAAATATGATTATATCTTTCTGTCATTTCCCAGACCAGACATTCTCCATTGTTTGCTCCAAGTTGCTAATTCTTAGAAAAAAAGAACTGACCCAATGACTGGTTTTGGACTCCACATATGTCTGATGAGGGTGGTAAAGATGGGTTATAGCTGTAGATAGATGTCTGTGCCCCTGATATGCAACCCATTGTCTGTGTGACACTAATTCAGTAATTGCACTCCCTTATGATTCAGTTATTTTTAGTAAAATTGTACCACGTGTACATGGTATCTGGCTCAGCATGTTGTCTCTGCATCACCTTAAAATATTCATAGTCATATGACCAAAAGCTTGATAAACAGGATCTTCTGCCCAACCCAGCATCTGTGATAGTTTGTCCCCACGAGGGATGCCAGGCCTGATCCTAGATGGACAAGGTACTGCTAGAAAACTCTCCTCTCTGTTCCTGTTCCTCCCTATGCAGTCTCCTCAATCCAGCAACGTAGATGCCAGCAACGTAGGACGTCCCCTGTCCTAGGGAACAAGTGTCAGCTGAAAGACTAGGTCTGGCCTCACCCAGATGTGGCTCTTTAAATCTGAACTCTGATGGTGACCAGTTTCTGGACAGCATAACTGCTGTTCCCCATTGGCCCTGAAGAGAAAATCAAAGTACATTCTCGGTCACAGGATCACCTGAAGTCAGGAGCCTGGGACCAAGGTCTAGGGGAGAAAATTCTTGAAGCTGAACTCTTCTTCAGCATCCTAAGGGACCTCTATCCAGGATGTGAATTTGTCTATCAGGACCATGTCGCTGGGGGAGATTCTGGGGCAATGAGGTGAGACTGGTTTCCTTGGGCTGGGCTCTCATCAGATTGTCTTCTCTGCAGTACAGATTTGGGTGAAAGATTCTGATCCATTAAAGTTTATCTCCAAAGCACTCAATGCTCAAACTCTAATATGGGAACATAATGCTGAAGGGAAGCGAGGTACAGGGTAGGCCTGATAATCCTTTGTGTGTGTGTGTGTGTGTGTGTGTATGTGTGTGTGTGTGTGTGTGTAGTATAGTTAACCCCACTCCTTCACCAGAGGTCATAGAAAGTCACTCACGGTATACTTGGACCTGTCCAATGGCTTGTTCTGTCTGATGAATTGTATTTACAGCTAGTAGGGTGTAGAACCCAGTGTCTTCCTGGGTGGCATTCTGGAATAGCAGCGATCCATTCGGGTATATTGTTTCTCGACCGCTATATGCAGAGCCTGGTTTAGTTGCTTGAGTGGATATCACATAAGCAGCAATTCTATGGCTGCTGACTGGATTTTCCCCTTTGTACCAGCGGTAGAGTCGAAGATTCTCTGGCAGATTGTGGACAAGCAGAAGAACCGAACTGCCTTCAGTGGCAATGAAGGGCACAGTTTCAACAGTGAGGTGGGCAGAGGTGGGTGGGCTCCAGATGGTTAAAAGTGAGGCTAGGAGGGAGGAGAGAGAAGTCCATCAACACTGAAATCTTCCTATTTGGATGGGGCCACGTAGGAGGGGCCCTGGGCCCTGAACGGGCATCTTCATCCCTCAGCCTTGGGTGCTTGTATGTGTGTGTATTTTGTGTGTGGGTGGGATTTGCATACATGTGCATGTCAATATGTGTTCTCTCCTGGGTTCTTTTATGCCCTTGAACTTGTCCTTTCCTCTGCAGGGAACGCTTTTTCTCAGATGTCAGCACAGCTCATCCCTCACTGCCCTCAGGTCTCTGCTCCCATTCAGGACATCTTGGGAGACACCTTTCCTGACCATGTCCTGGGGAGACCTGGGGTTTTCACTTCTCACCTCTCTGTGCTCTGTTCACTTCACGGTTCTTGTGAATACCTCACCTCTCCTTCTGGATGTCCTTTCTGTCCTGTCCTCCTGATCACCAGGACAGGGATGAGTCTGATCTCTGTTGGAAGCCAGTGCCTGGAATAACTCAGATACCTGTGATGAATTTGAGGGCTCCTAGAGCCCTGTATGTATGGATTTTTGGCGGCCAGATTCTGAGCTTACTGGTTAGGAGCAGTGGTTAATGCTTCAGTTGCATTTTTATATGGACTGTCTCAAGGACAGAGCTGTTAATATCAATTGTCACAATACAGTGCCCCCTGAGGATTGACTTAGAGTACAGTGGAGCTTTTCCACCTCTTTACAAATTCCAGTTCACTGAAAGTTTTTTGTTACTGACATATCTGTCCCTCTTTTGTGTCCTCTACCCTCAAGATCTAAACAGAAGCTGTGTGCCTACTCCCAGGGTCTTGTCCTCCCCAGCCTGTGCTCATATCCTCCTACCCATTACCAGGAAACGATCGCTTCTTACCTGTGAGCAGGAGCCCCCACCAGGGAATGCACCTTCTGCTGGGAAGGCCAGAGGATGGCTTCATTGTATCTGTTGCTTGCTCTGTCCTTCTCTGGAAAAGCTCTCGCACAAGGCTTCTCAAGTGTGCTTGTGCTAGGTCTGCTGTTCTTTCTCCTCTGAGCTGAGCCTCCTCCCAGGGCAGGAGCATTTCCCAGGGTCATATGGCCTGGGGGTGGCGTCTCTGTCCAGGGCACTTCTGTCTCCTCCCTTTTCAGTGCTGTCTCCTGTCCCTTTTCCCCTTCCCTTAGGTGGCCTTTCAGTATCCAGACCAGACCATACTTTTAGAAACAAGAGAGAAGAGGGTCCCTGTCCTTGCAAGGATGACAGGTCTCCCACTGCACATCTGGGCTATGTCTTAACCTTGGGGCTGTCAACACCACAGGAAGCATCTAAGGACCTCAAATACAGGGACGTGTTTCCTTTGGGACAGAAACCAGTTTGGCACTCAGTCTTCTCTGTGTTTGAGATATTCTGGATATATGGGGTTCACTTCTAGCAGGAAAGTGACAGAGGTGCTGCAGAGACAAGAAAGGGCCCAGTTGAGTGAGGATTGATGAGGGAGACCTGTCCTCTGTATCTACCATCACCAACCTTACCTCAGATCCAGGGACAGTGACCCATAAACAGTTGTCTCAGATCTGCAGGTCATGAGTGTGCAGTGGAAGGTGACCTGTGTGTTTCAGAAACTGGACTGTGGTGAGGAGAGGTGCAATGGCCCTAAACTGTATTGCCTTTTGTAGAAAGTCTTAGGGATTGCTTTTCTATCAGGGTGTGCTGGCAGAGCTGTTGGTCAGTCCTGCCCATGTCCTCCAAGGGCAGCTTCTGTCTTCTGCCTTGTTGATTCCTGATGGTCACCCCACTGCCTTTCATGAGGGTTACCAGGATGGGGGATTCCCAGGGAGACCTAGCAAACAGCATTGGCAGAGGCCCATGGAGTGGATGGGATGGAGGACATACATGACAGCAGCCCAGCAGTTCCTGTTGTGGAAATGGATGGAAATTAGGCTGCACCTCCACCCCCGGAACCCAAACCAAGTTCACGACTCTGGAAATTTATTTCCTGAGTATTGACTGTATGTCCTGATGTCATTCCCCGGAGGACAGGAGGAGACCTGGGCCCAGTATCAGGCACTGCAGCAGGGATGCTGACCAGGCTCCAGATGGCATGAGCTGGCCCCAAGTGGGCTCTGAACTCCTCTACAGAGCAGCCCACCTCAGCTGTGTCTCCAGGCTGTTCAGTGCCAGGCTGTGCAGAGTGAGCAGGGAGAGCACGAGAGTTTTTGGGAGGACTCAATCCAGAGCCAGAGAACTGTGTTCCGAGGCAGTGAATGGCTTAAAAACGACCCATCAGTCTCTGACATTTCAAAACAACATCCGGGAGTGAGACAATGCCATCCTGGAGGCTGTGTCTGCAGGGGCTGCTCAGTCCCTATGTTCTTGATCTCCTTGTCAGAGGTCAAGAGGGATGTGCAGGTTAGCTAACTGGGGTGGGTGTATCTCCTCTCAATTCTCTTAAAAATTGTTGTATAATAGATACAACATGAATACTTTTGCCTATGTTAACCATTTGATGTGTATAAATACTATTTAAAAAATTTTTTATTTTCTTTTAAAGATAATAAAACCCAACAAACAGAATAAAGCCAATAAAATGGAATAAAGCCAATCAAAACAAAGGAATGAAATTGGTACAGAACTTTGAAGCAGGATAATAGGAAATCAACAGAGGCTGCCATAGTATTTCTTGTTATCTTCACAATAGTTGTCCATTCTCTCATACACAGCAAAATCAAACCAAACAAAACATAATAAAACCAATCCAAACGGAACACTGAACAGAGCAAAACAATAAATTGGAACAAAACAAAACAGTGAGAACAATATTGGATTTCAAAAACAAGATATAAAGAACCCCCCCATATTTTCCACACTATATACTGTCATCCTTCCAAAGATGCTCAGACCACCGGCCCCAGGCCTGCAAAGTCAACCAAACAATATAAGAATTCGGTTGCTTTTTGTACGTTTGTTGTTATCAACTCAGCCTGTCCTCTGAACCAGCTGGTTGCTTGCTGGGAGCAGGGAGGGTTATTGATTCTCAGGCTGAGCACTGGTAGGCACTTGGGAGGTGCTTTCTGGCTTCTCTTCCTGGGCCCTGCATGGCTTGCTTGTGTGGCTTACCAAAGATTTCATTGGCTCCTCCTCCTCCTCCTCCTCCTCCTCCTCCTCCTCCTCCTCCTCCCCCTCCCCCTCCCCACTCCTCCTCCTCCTCCTCCTCCTCCTCCTCCTCCTTCTCCTTCTTCTCCTTCTTCTCCTTCATGGTCTTCTCCCAGAGCCAGAATGTCTTCTCAAAGTGTATAAATACTATTAATTGTATGTCAGTGTTGTGCAAGTATCACAAATGTTTCTGGAAATTTTTTATGCTTTGAATAAGATTTCTATAGATGCTTACAATAACCCCACTTGATCCCCTAACCCATTCCTTTGAATACCTTGAGAATAGTTCCAGACTATGAGTCTGCATATCCTGTATTGTATTTATGTGGAATTGTTGAATCAGTGATATTTTCTTTCTTTCTTATTTTACTTAGAAGGATGTTTTCAGGTTTCATGCTGTAGCTTGCATCATATTATTTTCAGGACTGATTAATACGTGAGTGCCTGGGCCATGTCTCTTTATGCTTTCCTCTGTTGGTGGGCCCTTGGGCTGCGCCACCCGTTGTTGTTAAGAATGCTACAGTGAGCAGCTGCCTCCTTAATGGCCTATTTTCCAATCTTTGAGTCCTCACCTGGCAGAGGGAGTGCTGTTCACAGGATGACGCTGCTTAGCTCAGCGAGGAGCTGCCTGTGTTCTCCACAGTGGCTGCAGTATCTCATATTCCCTCAAGGGGTGCGTAAGGATTCCAAATTCTCCAGTCCTTCACAAAACTTGTTATTTAACTTTTTGTTACCAAATAGTATAGCATCCCTCGTAGGTGTGGCACGACATCTCATTGAGATTTGATTCACATTTCCAGAATGAGATGTGATATTAAGCACCTTCTCATGGGCTTAACGGCCATCTGTGCATCTCTGGAGCCACTCTGTTGAAGTTCTTTGTCCATTTTATAATTATGTTCTTTATCTTTTGTTGGTGAGTCAGGCCAGTTCTCTCATACTCTGAATATGAAACTTTTACTGCATTTAGTATTTGTAAACATTTTCTCCTATACTATAGGTAGTTTTTTCTTTCTTGCTAATATATTTTGGAGCACAAAAATTTGTAAGATATTTTGCACCATATTTTAAAAAATCTATATTTGAAAATTCCAGTAGAATGTGAGTTAAGATTTTACCTTTTGTTGTTCATAATTTTGTATTAAATCTAAAAATTCTTTGTGAAATTGGAGGTTATGAGTATTTACCCTTATATTTTCTACTAATATTTTTTAAAAGAAAATGAAATTTGCACTTACATTAAACTCACTCCTCTATTTTAGTTATTTTTTTTATATAGTGAGAAGTAGGATTCCAAAATATCACTATTTTGCATGTCATTATTCAATTGTTCTAGTTGAAAAGTTTGAAAAGATTTCTCTTCGGCTATTAACTGATATTGACATATTGTCAGTGATCAAATACCAATGTAATGGGTACTTACATGCTCAACTCCATTCCCTTAGTCTACGTGTGAGTATTTATTCAAGTATCACATCATTATGACTACTGTACCACTGTAGTAAGTTTTCAAATAAGGAAGGATTAAAGTCCAAGTTTGATCTTCTTTATCATGGTTTTTAGCCTATTTTGCATATTTTAAAAATCTACATTTGAATATCCTATCTATCTATCTATTTATCTCTATTCATCCACCAGTATATTATCTACTTTCAGAATGATGTCATGCTATGTTACATTGCCTAGTCTGGGATTCCTGGTTTTAAGTAATCATTCCTCACCAGGCTTTGAACTAGCTTCCAGTGCTTACCATTATAAGAGGTTGTTTAGCTACTGGCTTATAAATGGTCAGCTAGTAAGGTACAGAGGCTAAGATGGAATGGGACTGGTCAGCCTTACAAAGAAATCAGCATGCACACAGAGCTAAGGGTTAACTCAAATCCTATAGTCACCAGAGCAGGGGAGAATAAATTACAGCACCATCCTTTAATTTGAACTTTTCTGTGAGAACAAAAACAGTGGTCAGAAAGTACCTATTCCAGCAGTTTTTCACTTTGGGAGAAAACCCTAAACTGTCAATAAAATAAATATGAACCCATAGTGATTATGACCCCACAAGGCTCCTCCGTAATTCAAACAACTCCATCTTTGCCTTCTTGTCTGCCCCTACTTAGAACCTCCAATGCTGCTCAGACCAAAGGAAACCTCCAGTGCGTATAATATGCTCTTCAGGGTGTGGGCAGGGAGAACTGGGCACCATCTGGGTCCATGTGCCACTTTCCTTGGCAGACCTAAAACACGTCAAACAGGATTTATAGAAGTTTTCTGATGATATTGATAGGTACATGGACATACTTCAAGGTTTAACTCAGTCTTTTGATCTAACTTGGAAATGTTACGCTTCTTTGAAATCAGACACTATCGCCTAATGAGAATGAGCTGCCTTATAGGCAGCAGGGGTCTTTGGAGGCAAATTGCATATAGTTCATTATAATAGGCCTGGAGGTCTAAAGGAAGGGGAGAAACCATGTTGAACAGGGAAACGGGCAGCCCCAGCAGAGGATCCCTACTGGGACTCAGATGTTAGTAGAGTGAATGGGGATGTAAATATTTTTCAGGCCTACACTCTTGGGGGTTTACAAAGAACATGCTCCAAGCCTCTTAATGGTTTGAAATGATCAACTGTTAATCAAGGCAGTGAAGAAAATCCCTCAGCCTTTCTAAAATGACTCCAAGACCTTTTAACTAAATCTACCTCTCTGTTCCCACATATCTTAGAGGGAAAAATAATTCTCAAGGATAAATTTATAACCCAAATTTCCACAGATATATGTAAGAAATTATTTTTAAAAACCCCATCTGACCCCG